GGGTCATCCAGCTCGTAGCCCTCTAACACGAACGCATAAATACTGGCATGCATCGGAGGAAAGATCCCAGCCCAGTCACCAGTGGGCTCCTGGCGCTCGAGGATCCACTGTAGGCATTTTCGTCGGGCGTAGGATCGGAGCAAAGGGACGGAACGGAGACCATTCAGGTAGTAAAGCAAGTTATCCACGACACTAAATGCAAGTCCAGTGAAGTCTCCTTGGCACAGCAGATCCCGGAGTGATGAGCCATACGGCACCATTTTGTCCGTCGGATTGAGCCATAGCTCATCTAGGTAGTCCTCCGGTAGCGCGTACACGGGCCGATGGTGGCAGATAATCAGCAGCGGGGCAATGGTTCCTCGGGCCCAAGACGCTAAAGTATACATGTTGATTGGACAACTGGAAGGCAAAAGAATTAGCTCCACGGGCAGCTGGGGCACTGCATCCCATGGAAACAATCCGAAGGTTGCCAGGAAAATGCGAGTGAAAACGCGAACTTTTTCAGCGCCGCCTGCTTTGAGAACAAATGCACGGGCTTGTTGCATGGCCGGCATGTCTGGACTCACTCCCAGCAACTTGAGTGCTAAGTAGGCTTCAGTCGTGGTCGATACGTCACCTGGATACTCAGGTGCTAGGCCCCATGAGCCATCGCAGTTCTGCTGTGATAGTATATAGCGGCAGTAAGCCGCATTATCGGCTCTCAAGTCTAGGCCCAAAGCATGTCGAAGGAAGATGTATTCAGCCGTGATAGTGACATTGGACCTCAACTCCCCGCACCAATGCCCATCGGAGCATATTGAACCAAGAGCATAATCGTTGGCAAGCTTCAGAGTATGCTCTACATCGGAACTAAGTTGCTCTTTCTCAGATGTTACCCCTTCTTCGTAGCCTTCTTTTCTCGAGGTCATCATAACAAAGTCGTAGTTCGTTTCAAAGTGAAAAAAGGAATTATCAAGATGTTGTAGTCGTAGTAGTAGCAGATAAGGGTCTGTCAGACAGCATGAAGAAATGAGCCATATCGAATCTCTAGGCCTGCGGTAAGGAGACACTATGCAAATTTATAATAGTCGAGCATGTTTAGCGCATCCTAGTAGCATGGAAATTGGTGGGTCGCATATTAGGGCGCGGCTTCCCTTTTTCGCCCTCCTTGTTCCCCCTGTTGACTACCGTTAAGGAACCCAGGCCTGTTCACATGCAATACTCAGTCCCTTGATAGGCTAGTCATATGAGCATGACTTACTAAGTAGTATTACCCAGGGTAACTGCCGTCTGTCAGCATATGGGCCCTGCTTTGTCCTTGCTTTGTCACCATGCAGGATGCCCAAAGGACCGTTTCAAACATGACAGCACTCCTGCTACCCAGACTCTCCTACCCAGATAGCCTTCACCTGGCTTTGGCTGTGGTGGCTCTTGGTGTCACGATTGCCCTCTTGGTAAATAAATGCTACCGGAGCCGAAGATTGCGACGATTTGAACAACTTCATGGCTGCCAGAAGCCGCCCAACGAAAGCGACCGCTTCTGGTATGACATCTTCGGAATCGCCAAGTCAATCGAGTTAGCATACCATTTTCGCCGCCGAACATCTCTCTCGTATACAAATGCACTCTTCGAGAGATATGGGGAGACTTATGTCTCCAATGTCTTAGGATTTCGGCTGCTATTTACCTGCAACGCGGTCAATATCAAACATCTGCTTTCCACGGCATTTGTCGACTTCGATAGTTCTCCGTTGCGAAGGCCTTTGTTTGAGCCAATCACACCACATGGCATATTCACCCTTGACGGTGCGGGCTGGAAGATAAGCCGGGAACAGTTGCGAAGTCGGCTCTCCAACCTTCGTAAGGCCATCGATCTTAGCCTGTGTGAGCAGCACTTTCAAGCTTTTCTTCGGCACGTCCCTCCGGATGGACAATCCTTCGATATCCAGTCCTGCGCGTTTGGCCTGTCTTTAGACATGCAGACCTTGTTCTCCTTAGGAGAGTCTGTTGATGCTCTCAGCCCCACCCAGTCTCAAGAGAAGAAGCAATTCTTCGAGGACCTTCTTCTTGTTAAGAATAGAATCGTGCAAGATGGCTTCCGTGGCCCACTTCGACATTTAGTGCCCAAGCGAAGCTTTCTAAAGGCTTGCAAGAACGCACGAGGATATGTGATGAACTGCGTTATTAGAGGATTGGAAAGACAAGGCAGAGTTGACAAGGAGACGGAACAGTGGCCTACGCTCAAACCACAAATGGATATAGGTGGAGCACCACAGCTTACTGATCAAGCTTTGAGTATTCTGCTCGCAAATGATAGCATGAGCACGACACTGTCGGGACTTTTCTATTGCCTTGCTCAGAATGAGCGCGTGGTGCATAAGCTGCGAGCAAGCATCATTGACACCATTGGATCAAACCCTCCGACATGGGGACAGCTCGGGACACTGCATTATGTCCGCTGGGTCCTTCAAGAAGGTTCGACACCTCTTTTGGCCATCTGAGTTCTACTATGCACTAACATAGTATTCCAGCGATGAGACTATTTCCCCCAGTTGTCTTGAACGCGAGAGTGGCAAACAAGAATTCAACATTGCCAACTGGAGGTGGAGCTCATGGTGACGCGCCGATTCTTGTCATGGAAGGAGACATTGTGGTTTTTTCCACCTGGGCTAGGCATCGCTTAGGGCAGGATTTCGGCGAGAATCCTGGGGAGTTTCGTCCAGAACGATGGGAACAATTAAGTGGGGATATGGCTGGCTATATTCCGTTCAACAAGGGTCCTAGAATCTGCCCCGGCCGTAAGTCCCCTTCAGTTATGGTGATTCCCAGGATGCACTCGCTAACACAAGAGCAGAGCATTATGCTATGATTGTTCTCACGTACATTGTGGCCCGCATATTCCAAACCTTCTCGACCGTGTCGGATTATAACACTAAGCCGTGGACGGAACGGATTAGCATGACTTTTGAGAACGAGAATGGGGTGCTAGTTGGGCTTAGCTAGGCTTCCTCATGCATGTGTAGTCATTTTTGAACAATGGCCTTTGGCTGGTGAGAAAAAGAGATAGTGAACGAGAGCTGCTGTATATAATGAATCTTGCTTAAAGACAGCAAGACTGGTGAGAAGCGATGGATTACTGGATTCAAATAAGGAGGACCTCAAAAGCTCGTCAGGTGACGCCATTATTGAATAGGCTAAAGTAAAGACGATTATATAAATGGCACCAAGATGCTGAAATTAATATGCTGAAAACAAGGCACAAACATTAGTCTGAAAATAGTAGTACGGCCGATTTGCAACCCCTGCTACGCAGTCATAATCACCGCGCAGATATTGACGACTCTAAGCGTCTTTCTTCAGTCCACCTTCGATTGTTCCGAACACAGGGAACATTTTCCTCATCATCAAATCCTATCAAAGCAATTAGCACATTATCGATGCTAAGTAGATACTCTGCAACAAGCAATGAAAGGATACTTACCACACCCCATTGCGGCAATAGCCACAGTGCCCATTTCGCAGGGACAGCGCCTCCACCAACCCACAACTTTCCTGACACCTTCCTCTCCACTGCCTGTACCACCTTAGATGCATATGCATACCTATCAACGCCGCTATCTTGCAAGCTTCCATCACCCATTTTCTGAATAGCATCCTTTGCTCCGATGTAGTATGAGGTCTCTGGGACTTGACGTTGAACGTAATTGTCGAAGAACTTAGTCTTCACACCACCAGTCATGAGAGTGATGGTGCGAACACCCAGCGGAGCTAGCTCCATACGCCAAGTCTCGCTGGCACTCATAAAGGCCGCCTTCGAGGAATTGTACATGCCTTGAGTGAGGTACATTAGTCAGAGAACGCCAGGTCTGTGACTAAAGAAGAGGATTGGACTTACTCGTAAAGACAAACGGAAGAGCTCCATTCACTGATGTATTGTTCACAACACACCCTTTGGACCTGATCAGTAGAGGAGCAAAGGCCTGCGTTACGGCGAAAGGAGCCCAGAAGTTCAGATCGAATAGCTTTTTGCCCTCCTCGATTGAGGTATCCATGGCGGGGAGGATGATGCTGCCTCCACTATTGTTTACCAGAACGTCAAGCTTGCCGCCAGTGGCTTTGGTCACCTTCTCCACTGCATTGGTGATGGAATTCGAATCCAGCACATCCAGGGTGAGGATGGTAGCGTTGGGAGAGTTGGCGAGTGTTTTGGGGGCCTTTGACGGGGTGCGCACAGTGGCAAAGACATGGTAACGGTGATCGTGGAAGGTCTCAGCCAGTGCAGCTCCGATGCCTCCATCGGAGCAGCCTGTGATGAGGACGGTCTTTCGGTCTGTGGACATGGTGCGGATTCTGAAGGAGTGAGAATGAGCCAGGCTTGTCTGGTAGTTGTGAATAGAAGAGAAACTCACCATGAGAGACATCATGAGGGGGGTATTTATCTTATTTCCAACTTCCCAAGAAGGATAATAGTATAGTAGAGATGGTGTCACCAAGTGAATCCAGCGGGAAGTATACCAAGGCCGTGACTATACCGGAATTGGCAAATGATATTAGAAGTAGCGACACGCCATCGGTTCCTGTCAGCATCAACAGCTGACAAACCAACCATAAAAAGCCCCCCTTCACCCTCTTCAAGTTCCTGTTCGGGTAAATGATATCAAGATCCTGAATATAATCCTACTCTAATTTCGTGATTTCAAACCATCGCCCAGCATCTCAACCGTGCTCCCCGTTCAACATCCTACTGTATCGCGCATACAACCTAAGCTATCTCAACCCAATCATGCACTTCATCATATCAACGGATAACAAAAAGCCCGACCGAAGCACCCGTCGACTCATCCGAAGCCATGTAATGCAAGGCATAAACAAAGGGCGGCCTCGATACGACCGACGGAAAAAGCCCAACCTCATACAACAGGATCAGATTCCATCGCCACAATCAGCAGAAGTATATCAGGACCCCAACATCATCCCATCGACTAAACTAATAGTGGGTCCTAATCCATCATTTGCTCAATTCGCCGTCCAAGTGGATTCCCGTACCTTCGCTGATATACTACAATGCAGGTCTTCCCTACCCTAACCCCCTCTTTCATTTGCGTAGCTAACGCGAATACCATGTAGTCGCCAAACTATCAATGCAAATGTTCTTCCCCCTGGGCTTCTTGATTGAATTCGACTACAGGGATAAATCCTGGTTCCACGACTCCATCCGCTCCGATGCCGCATATCTGCATCTCACCGTATCCGCATCAGAAGTCTTCATGGGCTCAGTCCACGGTCGACAACATTCCGACGAACTACTTTCCAATCGCAGGACCATGCTCCATTTTACAAAGGGCGTGCAGATCCTCCGCGAGAGACTAACGGGCGTCGATCTCCAGACGAAAATCTCCGATTTCACCGTACGCACTGTGCTGATGCTAGCCATGACAGCGCATCTGATGGGCGAATCCGAGGTCGCACAGAAACATATGAAGGGGATTCGAACGATCATGGATCTTCGAGGTGGTCTGCGCTTATTCGAGAGCCAGAAGATTCTCATCGAGCTGTTTAGGTAAGTGAGCCACTTACCTCCCTATAACATCCAATCTATACTAACATTAATTGACAATCACCAGATGGGACCTAGGCCTCGCCCTCCAAAACAACACGACGCCCATATTCTTCAGAGACACCTTCCTCGAACCACTCACTCCATTTCCGACCATCTTCAACCCCACCTCTAACCAAACCAACAACCTCTTCCTCCCCCAACTCAACCTAGACCCAACCCTAAAGACAGCCTTCCACGTCCTCCGAAACTTCTGCACCCTGATCAACACAAGCATCACCGAGACCCCCCAACGCCGCCTTACCCCAGATATCATCCCCTCTACTCTCTCCTCCGTAATGTACCGTCTTCTCCAAATGCCCTACCCCCCGAACAGCAACAACGAAACCTTCCGTCTAGGTCTCCTCACCTTCTGCCATCATACCTTCCTCCAATGGCAAGACAAGACACTGCCTTTTGTATTCTTCCCTGCTTCGTATCAATCTCATCTCTTGTCGTTCATGGAACAATGCCAGCAGCATCTTGACGATGCTGGGGATGAGGAGGGGGATGGGGAAAATTCCCCGGAGCTCATTCTCTGGCTATTGATGGTCGGGATCCTTGCATTGCCGCCGCTGCCAGCGTTTCAGGGGACGGATCTCTGGTTGAGAGGATGTTTGCGGGAATGGTTGGAGAGAGTGGGGATCAGGACGTGGGGAGAGTTGCGAGAGATCATGAAGAGGTTTTTGTGGGTGGATTTGATGCATGATCTTGCTGGGGAGGTGGTGTTTGGTGATGTGCTTAAAGTATGAATTGTGCTGATAAGAGTTTCATCATTTGGTGTATATAGTATTGGTGGGAGGTATTCTGTTATTCAGTAGTAGTCACAATGGTTTGAGATTGGGGAGTTGCAGTAATCTATACACCTTCATTGGGAAGAAGTCGGGTGAATTGGACTGGTGTACCACTGTCGATGTATACGTGGCGCTCCCACTTACGATAGTACTAACAACTATATTGGCAGCAATTTCAACTTTACAGGGCCCATACTGTGTAACACTAAGAAGCACCATGTGAAAAAAAAATCAACCAATCTGCATGTGCAAGGATACTATATTCTGTATTACCAATCATGTACTTTTCAAGCAGGTCTATCCACATCGCCATGGCGCATCTCTAGTAGTTTTTGTGCCCCTACCAGTTTGCCCCCGCCGTTTGACCAGGCCAGCATCTCCAGGTCGACCACAAACAAACGCGGAGAGGAAAAGCAAGTACTGAAAGGGGAAATCGTGTCGTTCTACATCACAGTGCCGGCATCCGGCCAGAATAAAGTAAAGGGGAATGGGAAAAAAAATAATAAAAGAAATCCGTAATAAACAACTGAAGGGGTTCAACATGATTGCATTGTTCGTGACCACATTGTCATCAAGCTGCGATCCCACAGCTGGGCTCACCGTTATCTACCAATCGAGCAAATTTACTGCTCAGCGGGCTTCTCGCCCTCGGCGGGAGCGTCCTTCATCTCAGCGTCGGGCTTCTCCTCGGCCTTCTTAGCCTCCTCTTCAGCCTTCTTGGCCTCTTCCTCGGCCTTACGCTTGGCCTCCTCTTCGGCACGCTTCTTGGCGGCGGCCTCCTCCTGGGCCTGGCGCTCGGCCTCCTGCTTCTCGCGGTAGCGCTGGATGATGGGACCGGCGACGAAGCGGATCTCGTCCATCTTGGCAACGTAGACCGACTTGGTGGTGTCCTCACCCTCCTCGTAGAGCCAGTCCTGAACAACCCGTTAGTTTCTGTGACGAAGATTGGAACGAACGTTGTGAAAACTTACCTCGGTGTCGGTCAGCTTAGCCCGCAGCTTGTCCTTCTCCTCCTCGTTGGCGAACTCGGAGTAGACGCCGTCGATCTTGTCACGCAGCTCGTAGATGCTGGACTCGAGCTCGTTCTTCTTCTCGTCGGTCTCGGCAATGAGCTTGTCCTCCATGTACATGGAGTTCTCACGCTCAGTCCAGGCGTTCAGGACGGACTCATCGGTGGAGGTAGTGCCAGTCGAGATGGGCAGGTCACCCTTGCGGACCTGCTTCTTGACCTTGCGAGTCTTCTTGGGCTGCTCACCATCCTTGCCATCGGTGTCCATGGCCTAATAATCAGTCGTCAGTAATCCGAACATCTTGTGAAATCAGGATTGGGGTTATCACTCACATCACCCTCCTCGGGAACGGGCTCCTCGACTTCCATGTCCTCAACGTAGTATCCAGACTCCAGGTTGAGGATACCGTGCAGGTTCAGACGAGCCTTGAGCTTGCAGATCATAAAGTCGTCGTTGGCATCAGCCTTGACACCCTTGACGGAGAAGCGGCCAACCCAGGGGTTGACCTTGCCGGGCAGCATCTCGGGCTTGGCGTAGCGGGCCTCGAGATCGAAAGGCTGCTTGCGGTAGAAGGTAAGGATCTTGGTGGAAGGCATAACGTTGCCGCGGTTGAAAACAGTCAGGCTGGTGTCCTCGTCGGGGATGTCGGCAGACTGCTCCCAGGTGAACTCGATGGGGTAGTTGACGATGTCGTGAACGGAGAAGTCACGCACACGGAAGACGGGGGAGAGGATGGCACAGCTGAAAGCACAGCCGCGAGCAATGGCCTCATCCTGGTTGAGGGTGAAAGAGAGGGTCTTGCCGAAGAACTTGGCGACGGCGTCCTTGATGGCGGGCACACGGGTGCAGCCACCAACCATCTCGACGAAGTCGATGTCCTCGGGCTTGAGCTTGGCCTCAGCCAGGGCTTCCTCAATGGGAACGGTGACCCGGTCCAGAAGGGGCTTGACCATGGTCTCAAGCTCCTCACGCTTAACAATGGCGCGGACGTCGACGTCCTCCATCAGAGACTCAATGCTCATGGGAGCGGCAGGGTTGGCCGACAAAACCTTCTTCATCTTCTCGGCAGCGGCCAGGGTACGAGACCAGGCCTTGGGGTGAGTGCGAACATCGATCTTGAACTTCTCCTTGAACTCATCGGCGAAGTGCTCGGTCAGGGCACGGTCGAAGTTGCGACCACCGAAGTGACGGTCGTAGGCAGTAGACTTGACGTTGAGCTCACCCTTGCGGAACTCGACGATGGAGGCAGTGTAGTCGCTGTAGCCGATATCGACGAACATGACCCGACGGGGCTTCTCCTCGGGGCCGGGCAGGTCGAGCTTAGTGATACCGTAACCGAGAGCGGTGGCGGTGGTGTCGTTGATCAGGCGGAGGACCTTGAGGCCAGCGATCTCACCAGCATCAAGCATGGCGCGGCGCTGGACGTCGGTGAACCAAGCGGGAACGCTGATGGTGACGTCGGAGACAGGAAGCTTCAGCTCCTTGGAGGTGATGTCCCGGATCTTGGTCAGGTACATGGCGACCAGCTGAGTAGCCGAGAACTTCTCCTTCTTTCCGAGGTAGCTGACCTCGGCACCGGCCTGGCCGTTGACATCGCAAAGCTGAGCCGTGGTGTACTCCTGCTCGATCGCAACATCGGGGTCGCTGAATGAGCGGCCGATCAGGCGCTTCAGGTTGCCGACCGTGTTCTTGAGGTTGGAAGTCTCTTGCGTCTTAGCGGCCTCACCGAGAGCTCTGCAGCGGGCATTGAAGCCAACAAGGGAACTGTGTGGGAGAAAAACGAAGTCAGTACACGGCTCGTATACTAATGTACTGGGAAGGCACCTGATATGGCGCCGACATAAAATTCATGATAAGCAAAGAATGGGCGAACTCACGGAGTAGATCTGTTGGAAACTTCGTTGGTGATCTATAAACCATCACAATGGACTAGTTAGCAATGACTTGGGACTGATAATGACGAGCGGATGGGCAGCGCTCGGAGGGGGGAAGAGAAAATTGGGCAGAGGGGAATAGAGTGACGCACAATATCAATACCCTTGTTACGGGCAACACCGACCTTGGTGCTCTGGGCACCGAAATCTATACCGACGACAGACATTGTCTAGATGAGGAAGAGGTAGAGAGGGGGAGAAGAGAGTGGGGGGAAAGAAAAGAGGAGAGAGGGGGAAGAAGAAGAAGTAGTAGAAGAGTGATGAGAGGATGAAAGAGGAAAAAAGTGGAAGAATGGGACTGAGGGGGAGAGGTTGGGGGAGGATCCAAAGAGGGCAGAGAAAAGAGCGAGACGGAGGGGGAGAATTTGCACGGCGAGAACTGCAGGACCCGCCACTAGAAGCTCGCGGGCGGTGAGGCGTCGATTTTCCAACGTGGGCACCGCTGGCTCGTCAGTCACTACTAGTTATCTGTCAGGCAGATACTATCTGTCTAAGCAGTAAGCACAATTCGATGGGTTCCACTTGGGCAAAAAAAAAAAAAGTTTTAAAAAATAACGTATAATTAACACACTAGAGGAGATCAATGCAGAAATATATAAAACGCAGGTGTCCCCCAGGTCGGAGGATTACAGGAATAAATAAGGAACCTGGCGCTTACCAGCATCGCAGCACAGCTTCACCGGCTTCTTTGGGCGCTCGTCGAACCTTCTGGCTGCTGCTCGACGCCTCCCACCTTTCACCGCTTCATTAGTGCCGGCAGAACCCTTACCTGACCGCTTTGGCGGGGCTTATCGATAGTTCAGAGTTTTTCTCCCATTTGTGATGACTCATCACGTGCATATCTGTTTGGCCACTCCCTTTTTTCAGTCAATCAACTACAGTGCTACTGGGGTTGGTATGACATTCTATAGATAGAGCTCTCAAGCGTGAGATGTTACCGACTGCTCCAGCTGGCACGTCGGTATCTCCCAGTCTAAGTGGATTGCAGACCTCTGTTACAGAGAATCATCTGACCATTGTATGCCAATGTTATGTGTCATACTTCGTAGCGAATTCGATTCGATTGGATAAACCTTCGTTTGTCTTACTCTATTGATTATCGAGACCAAATGGGCACGAATTCCCCATACGCATCCATGACCTCAGAGGATAGTAACTTTGGCTTATTTGATAATGCGAGAAAAGAGTATTAGAATACAATCGATGTGAATAGACGATGGATCACAAGCCACTTACTGAACGAGAGTCAAGTAAATAGTTCATTAGTAGCATGTGTGTTCAAAACAGGCTCTAATACCCTGGTCAGTCGGCCTCTGTTCCCTGGCAACCCTCATGCTCAGTACTAATCAATCCGATGCTGGAATTCTTATGCGCTGCCTTCCGGTTCAAACCATTTGTTCTGGTTGCATATAACTCCTCTTCTGCCTCGGAATCCTACTAGGTCGCTTGGTATATCTTGGCTGTGGCAAGTGTCCATGGGGCTGAGACCCAGGAACGGCCCTAGAGTGCTGCAGCCCTGATTGTGGAACATCCGACGATACCTGGGGCTTTCTGCTTGGGAAACTGCTCTCTGACTCAATGGTATGCATTTCATACGCCCGGTTGTCTACCGGGTCCTCGTAAGATTGCACATACAGGCCACGCTCTCCACCATCTGCCTCTTGTGTGTGTAGAAGTCCGGTGTCTTCCTGCGCCTGGCGACTCATGGAGAGTCTGGCCCGCTCCTCGGCGCTCATCAAGGATTCCACGTTCTGGGGCAAGGAAATTGAATTGCCTCCAGAATCGGATGTCGCGACCGAGTCAGATGAGCAATGTGGGTGGAGGCCGATGCGAGGCACGTCTGGAAGAGGGGTCAGGTATTTGGCGAGACTGGTCCCCAGAGCGCCTTGATAGTCGTAATACCGATCTGGAAGCTGTGGCGCAAACGAGAGGCGACCATTGACCTTGGATGAAGGCCGGATGGGAACGCCTTTCTCTTCTGTTTTCGTTCGAAAGGTGTCTACCTGAACATTCAGCTCATCCCCCTGGACCCTAGCCTTCTCGACCGCTTCCTCTGGTGTAGTATGCTCATCAGCTTTGGCTGCGTCAGCTCGAGGCCCGCCCCACGTTCGCTGGCCTGCAGTGAAAATGCCGTATACTATGTAAAGCCAATTGAAGAACGGATTCAGGATGAACATCAGGGGATAGAGCCAGGCTTTGAAGCGTTTAAGCCTTATCCCAAAATAAACCATAAGGATGTAATTGAGACCGAGCGAAACTGCAATGAAGCCAACAGGCAGGTTCTTGATCTTGCTGGAGGTTGTTATGATCGAGATTACCAGAATGAAGAATAGCAATGCAGTCGTCCGGATTGTGTTCTGCATGAAGCGCACCAGACACAATAATGGGTAGCGTTTCCACAGTCTGACGTCGGTCAGCATACACACTTCGTTAGTTATGTAGCCGAGAAACCATCGACGTCGTTGTTTAAGCAGGCTACAGAATGTCTGAACCGCCTCTGTCTTGCAGAAAGCACTCGTGCACATCTGGATTTGATAGCGTTCAATCGCCCCGATCATGAACAAGTGCGTTAACCAGCGATCTTCTCCCAAGTGACACTTGCCATAGTCGAAGAGATCCTCACATTGCTCAGCTTTGTCCGCGAAGTAGTATCTCGCCATTTTGCGGAAAGCTGAGAATCGTAGGATTGTCAGTGCTCCCGGAAGGCAGGTAACAGCGCCGCAACCGGACTCCACGGTACGCTCAACAAGCTGCCCGTGAATGTATTCCATGTCCTGTAGAACAGTTATCAGAGAATTTCTCTCTGTGGTTGAAGTGATTATTCCTGTCATCGCTAACATATTATGCTGGCTCCCTGGTTTCAGTTCCATGTCATACATGAAGTTCTGCAGGCATAATTTGTCAAGAATGCAGTCTGAATCGATGAACAACAGAAATAGGTCGTCATGATGCTTTAGATAGTCGGCATATACCTTGTCGATCAACCTGAAGGTTTGTTTCTGGCAATGACGCTTGCCACCGTGCTTGAATCTCGAAACAGTGATCCTTGCCCCATGATATGTCACATCAATGCTTTGCGGGTAACTCTCCAGCGAAATCGGAATTCCCAAATGGTTGATCACATGGAGATAAGGTTCATCGATGTTGCACCCATCATAGGACAAGAAAACATGAATGCAATAACTGGGATAGTCGCTATTAACGACCGAGTCAATTGCCTTGATCAGAACAAGGGGGTCTTCTTTGTATACTGGCATGACAATGACGGTTTTTGGTGCGGTGCGGTCATCTAAAGCCTCCTTCACCCTCTTGGTTCGCCCTAAGGAGTGAATCACGAATCTATTGACACAAAATAGCCATGGTATGATTAGAAGCGCAGAGAATGCCCAGAAAGCGAACCATTGAAGTACCGACACGAGCTGGCGAGGAAAAAATTGCGTGATCTGCGGTGGTAGTGGAAGAATAGCGATCATCACTGGAAGAAAGATTCCCCTACATGTGTGTTACAATACTTTCATCCTTGAAACATTGCACTTACACAAGCTCACCTGCACAGTGTGATGAGGAGAGCCATGATGACTGCGAGAACTCGAATACTCCAGTGATCGGCCTTCTGATATACCTTGATCAGACAGTAAATAAACGCAGCAAGGAAGAGGAACCACTCCAGTAGCGCTGCAAGCAACAATGGTCCCAAGATAGAAATGTAAATGATCTAAGCCCATGGTAAGCGTACTCGTCTTCCGGTGGGAAGACTTCAAACCTACGTCTCTAGTAGGCCATGCGGCTAACAACCCGGACGATGGTTCTCCAGCCATGATGAGATGAGCTGGCGTTTCGTTTCGGCTTGACCAGTTGTCTCTGCAGGTTTCTATGAGATCTAGTATTATAAGTCTACCACCGCCAAAGGGTCGTCAAAAGTGCCCGAAGCGAGCCGTATTCGTTGGAAGGCAATGGCTCTTTGGTATATAAATCGAATAAGGGAGCTCTTTTCTCGGTCGCCGTGGGTTCCGGCAACTATCGGCATGCCTTCCTGATGAGGATTGAGCCTGTTAGCTTCTTTATTTGTATATTATAGGAATAGAAGCAAACGCACGTTCTGAAATACCTTAGATAATGTGTGACATATTGGCTCGGACAGTGGGCTAATGAGAGCGAGACGATGGCACAACTCTTGTGATATAACGCAATGTGGTAGTCTGAAGTATATCCAATGAAACCCGCCTGACGCCTAGGAATTATGTTGAGGACATGGTACCGAAGGAAGGCTTAAGCTGGAGTGTAACTATGAGAAAGGCTTTGATTCAGACAGCCTGAAAGGCTCCAACGGAGCAGAAACGAAACGGAAATGGCAGGTGCTCTTAGCCCAAAGTGCATTTCTACATACCCCTTCTGGGGAAGTGCCGGGAACCTGCTTTGGCTTGAACTTTCGCCGATTGCATCCAGATTGATTGACTCTTCTTGGTAGCAGTGTTTCCTGGGTTGCCTTTACTAATGCCAACTAAGACCAGAAATTTTCAAGTCATATATCCCTTGGCACTTGCTTCTTGCATGAATTTGGATAGCCCCTTCAAACTAATCGTCGACCAGCAGGCTGCAAAGCGATTCCATGCGTTGGCGAATCGCGTTTCGACTGGACAATCTGAACGGCTTCCTCCTCAAGTAGACCCCGAGCAACCAGATGACGAACAAATTCCATAGTCCACTCTTGACATCTCTTGTTGGTGGTCTGTGTACGTCAGGCTAGAGCGCAGGCAGTGAGGCACTCGACTGTTACTCACATCATTAACAGGTGCCATGAAATTCTCACTAACACGAGGGGCCGGTATTTGACTGGCTGCGATTTCAAGATCATCTCTCGGAGTATGGTCTACAAAAATACTACTACTCTCTATTGGAGAGTCCGTAATGTGTTGAGAGTCGACATATCCAAGCAAAACCGTCTCATACGGCTCTTCATTGGAGGAGAGCGCGTGATTCCGTTTGAACTCGAGTTGATAGCCCATCATAGGGGCGCCCACAACGTGTATCGAAGTACCTATAGTAGAACAAGCGACCGATGGAACAAAGATTGAGAAATGAGCACGTTGGCTCGGGCTATTCCGGGATGTTACGAGGTATATTGCTCTGGGAGGCATGACGGTAGTATGCGATGGAGTAGAATTGTGACAACATTCAGTCTACTGCCTGAGAGACATCCAATATCTCTTCTGAGGGGAAGGTTATATTGACCGCCCGCGCTTGGAAGCCGGCCAGGCAACAACAAGCAGATGCATGTCTGATTGGTACCTACTACGGTGATTGTCATCCGTTCTAGCAGCATGTCACACGTTCTGTGACTTTCCAGAAATATACCTAGCTGGTAACACAAGAATCCAGGCACCCGTTTCAATCCAGCTTCACTTTTACCTCAAAACAACCTAATCCTGCTTTGCAGAATCTGTGAAGGATACACATCATGAAGTGTCAAAATACCCGTTGTTAAAGAGGTCAGTCCGGCTACTTTCCTAAAGCGGCCAAGTCAGCTGTTTGCGCCACACAAACACTGCTGCCTGACTGCCTGAGGCGAGCAAGACAGTTGCTCCGCTGCGGCGCTCAGAAAATTTCCCCCCGCCGCGCATTAATTGGCCTGGCCATTTTCTCTCTCGCATCTGGAGCTCTTCTTTAAATTACTTGCAGGTGTCTTTTCCCGGTCGATTCCTCTTTTCCGCTTATATCCCTATCTTGCGCTTGCGCATTTCAGGTAAGATACGAAGTACCCTGCTTGCTTCCTCCAATTCTCCGCATCGCCGTCGCGCGGTTCTCCGTCCATCATTGGCCAAATCGGTCCGTATCATGGTTCTGACGCGGGATTGCACCCTACCCTCATCCTGAACTTATCGCCTGTGCCTCTCTGCTTTTGACGATATGTAGGAATCACTGACTGATATTTTTCCACTCTAGTATAGACTCTATACATCAATCTCCCCTATACCCCCTTATCCTCCTACAACACAGCTCGTGACCATGTCCGAAGAGCAAAAGCCTGTCGCCCAGCCCAACGCTGAGGCTGAGAAGGATGTCCAGAACGTCCTCGCCGAGCTGAAGGGTGAGAACGAAGCCCCCGCCAACGGTACCGAAAAGAAGGAGACCGAAGATGCCGAGGAAGCCCGCATTGTCGAGGCCGCCGCCAAGCTGGGCGAGAAGTCTGAGAAGGCTGAAGAGCAGAAGACGACACAGGAATCTCGCAACGACAACCGGGGTCGCGAGGGCCGCTTCAACCGCCGCAACAATGCCAAGTTTGACCCCTCCACGCAGCAGGTGACGGATGACCCGGTCGAGATCCGCAAGCAGGTTGAGTTCTACTTCTCTGACTCCAACCTGCCCATGGACAAGTTCCTGTTCTCCAAGGTCGGCGGCAGCGCCAACCGTTCCGTTCCTCTGGAACTTCTGCACTCCTTCAAGCGCATGCGCCGCTTCCAGCCCTTCAGCGCCGTCGTCGAGGCCCTCAAGTCGTCCGAGACGCTTGAGCTGACCGATAACGATACCTCCGTGCGCCGGAAGACTCCCCTTCCGGAGACCGTGTCGCAGACTCACGACCACAACGTGGTCAAGGTGTTCGAGGACCAGGCCATGAGCCGTAGCATCTACGCCAAGGGTTTCGGCGATGAGGAGCCGACCACTCAGCTTGACATTGAGGCCTTCTTTGCCCCCTACGGACCCGTCAACGCCATCCGTCTGCGTCGTGCCTACGACAAGACCTTCAAGGGCAGTGTGTTCGTTGAGTTCGAGTCGGAGGAGAAGCAGAAGGCTTTCCTGGCCCTGGACCCCAAGCCCCAGTGGAAGGGTCAGGACCTGCTCATCAAGAGCAAGAAGGACTACTGCGACGAGAAGGTGCGCGACATTGAGGCTGGCCGCGTGAAGCCCAGCGGCTCCCGCGGACGCGGTGGCTTCCAGCGTGGTCGCGGCCGTGGCCGTGGTGGAAACCGTGGCCGTGACAACCGCGACTGGAGGGAGCGCCGCGCAGCTGACCAGAAGAACGGCTTCAACGACAAGAAGAGTGAGCCCAAGGAGGAGCGCAGTGAGGTCCAGAAGGATGCTCGGTATGTATTTACTTCTTTCTTCTCCCTATCAGCACCCCATCACACAAAAGCAAAAGTATGTATACTAACAAATATTTCAGCGGCGTCCCCATTGTCCAGAGCACCGCCGAGTCCGGCCAGAAGCGTGCCGCCGAAGACGAGGCGAACGGCGACCACCCTGCCAAGAAGGTGGACGCCAAGGAGTAAACGAAATAACGTCATCTAAATCAAAAAGATAAAAAAGAAAAGTTGCAATTCGAAGCTGGCTGTCTATCATCAATGACACCACTTGCTTATTTTTATTCATTGCTTCGAAAGAAAAATGGGAATAAGGGTTATGGGATACAAAAAGCATGACTTTGGCTCGAATTACTACCCCCGGACTTTGAAGACCATAGTACCATAATGGCGTTGTATAATTTCATTATTATTTTTTTTTTCTTTTTCTTTCCATTATTATTTGCCGATATCCTTTGCTTCGGTGGATGTTACCTTCTAGACTCATGGAATAGGATGTTCTGGAATTCATCTTTACCGTTTAATTTCTTCTGTTTGGGTAGTGAGTATACCATCGTAGACTATTGATAAGGCAAGATTGCGACTGGCTATAACATGAAACCTCCATGCATAGCAGTAACATGCTCGTAATGCAGTACTATTACTACTTCCAAGTACTAGAAGTTGTTGACTGCAACAGCCAGGGCTGCACATATATTCATCGACTACAGCACGTATATAACGGTATCATATGCTAAACCACCTCTCATCTCCCAACCTCTCATTTCTTCTTCTTCGTCTTATCCACAACATCAATCCACTGCGTCCTCAATCCACGTCTCACCAATGCCGTCTCCAACGCACGTCGCTGGTCTCCCTGAACAAGCACCTCCATGACGCCCTTGGGGGCACCAGTAGCCTGCGTTACGCTGGTGCTGCTAGCGCATTTCTTCTGCAGTTCTTCGGCCAAGAGACTAGGGATGATGCCGAACACTTCGAGGTTCCAGACCTTAGTGACGGTTTTGGAACCGGTGCGGCGTTCAAGGATCACATTGACCTTGGGGGCGGCGCCTGCTTTGGGCTTTACCTCGGAGAGGGTTTGGCCGGGTCGTAGGATGACGTAGTGGGCTGTCATGAGGGAGTGGTCGTCGATGAGGCGCTTGAGGAGGCCGTCACGGGTGGTTTTACCGCGGGCGAGAGTGCTCTTGTCATCGGCGGAGGAGGAGGTGAAGATGGTGTTGGCGAGGTAGGGGTTGAGGGTAATGATACGTTTGTTTTTGGGGTCGACGAGCGGGGGGTTTTGAGATTGGATATATTGGTCGAGGTGGGTGGAGATGTCAGTGTATTTGTAGTAGTTGCTGGGGTGGGTGCTGGATAGGGCGGGGAAGATGGTTGGAGTGAGTTTGTTGGTTGGGCGATAGAGAGTCTGCACGGTCAGGGTTTGGCCGACTGAGGGGTCACCGCTGTCTGTAGATGCGGACTTGGCGTTGTTTGCTGAAGTGGCAGGCTTTCCTGCGTTCTCGACGGCGTTCTTGGATGGGAGTCTGTAAGGGACGAATTCTACAACGCGACGGTCATTGAAGTCCACATCGAGGATGACGGTCTCTTGGCCGTTGCGGTCTTTGGACTTGACCAAGCGCTGCTTGTCCAGGTATTTGATGAACTTTTTCACGTTCTTCCAGCTGGTCTTCTTGATTTGGTAGTATTGGGCTTGTTTTGCGGTGTATATGGGCAGGTGGGGTGTGATCATGTTCGATATCAGAGCAGATGGTTGGACGGGTAGAGAAAGACCGTGGTTGGTAGCGGACGGGTTATCTTGCTTGAGCTTGTAGAGGGAGTAGAGGAAGGCCTTTTCGAAAGCCTCATCAATTTCTTCAAGTGGTCAGCATAGTGACCCCCATGTTGTTTTGAGCGAAACTCACCTTTAGTTGTGGGCTCCTTCTCTTCAACCTCAGGTGCCTCCTCCTGAGGGGCATCAGGCACTTCGTCCGATGCTTCCTCGCCTCCAGCTCTTGAAGTAGCCTCTTCACCACCTACTGCTAGGCTCTGCACGCCCTCTTCAATCTCTCCTACATCTTCGTCCTCTTCCAGTTCATCATCCCAACCCTCCAGATACTCTGGAGCGGGCTGACCTGGCTTGGAAGACGAGCTCCAAGCCCATAACTCGTCACCTTCCCAGTGCAGACCTCGAACGGCATGTCCCTTCGTGCCCTGGACCTCACCAAGGGCAGAGATGTCGATCTCGCACACACCCACAAACAGCGGTACCGTATGCCTATTAAGGCTTGCAACAGCTACCACTGCGCCCTTGACGGCACGCTCGTCGAAAGGCGGGTCACTGGCCAGACCCGGCGTCATCAGGTCGGCTCCTCCGTGCAGTTTCTGCATGACCATTTGCGGGGTATGAAGCAGTGGCACCAGATCTGGGTTGTGCCAAAGTGTATATACCGTAGGGTAGAGGCGTCCATCGGCGCCGGGGCCGTGGTCGACTCTGAACCACAGAACCCGTTCATCGGCCCCGGGATGTGTTCCAACATACACCGTTCCTTGTACTTCGCGGAGCTGAGGTCCGGCGGTCGTAGTAAAGCGTGCGGTCAAACAGTTCTCGGGGAGTAGAGCATTTCGAATGGAGGTAAGGTTTGGCGCCGTTGGGTTGGATGCGCCTGGAGCTGAGTCGTCGCCGCTGGTTTCGATCGGTGCACTTTGTGGGACCTCGATCTTGTAATCGCTGATAATCTGATCGGCAATCTTTCGACGGTCGGATGACCGCAGGGGAGAAAGATTTTTGATCTGCGATTGTCTAGTGTGAGCGATGCGCTCAAAAAGGCACGATTGACCTTCTTGTAAAGTGGTGCGGGGGAGGGGTAACGTACCGTGGGCTTCTTCTTGAACATGATGGAGGAACGAGGGTGCAGTGGTTTAGTAGACGAGTATTAGATGACGATCTAAGCCATGCAGCCCACGCCAACAGAAATGGAGTATCCGGGGAGTGGATAAAGGGAAGAAGAGGCTATTCGGAGAGCTGCTGAGGGGACGAACGAATGGATTTGACTACCGCAACAACAATCGCCCGCGTGGTCCCCGCTTCCCGAGGTTTCAACACATTCTACGCATACATCACCGAATAACATCATTACCAGCAATCAAAGCATGAAAATCCTTAGAACTTCAATACTCTCTCAATCTTCACCAAACGCACAATTTGTTTTCCTGTCCAGTATCATGTAAGAGGATAGCGGTAGTACCTGCCGGAGAGTCCTACTGCACCGTTCAGGTTAGGCCCTATTGTATACTTCGCAGGCACCCAGGTAGAGCAAAACACACAAATTAGAAGTCTACTCACCAGTCCTCAGCTCAATCATAATAGTCATCATAGAACCCATCATCCATTCCATAGTCTGGATGGTCATAGCACTCCTGGAGTGGCTCACTCATGTCTGCCTCGCAGTCCTCGAAGTCGTAGTGGCTCTGGCCTCCCTCATAACCTTCATACTGGTCGTGATAGAATGGAATTGGTCCTTCATCCCAACCCGCATATTCTTGCTCATCCGGCTCTGCTCCCCTGTGCTCGCAATACTCCGAGTCGAGCTCGCTATCTTCTTCTTCCTGCTCCTCGTACTGCTCTTGAGATCCTTCCTGCTGCTCGGCTTCCCAATACTCCTGGTCATACCGTCTCATGGTGTCTAAAATCTCCTTCGCTTCATCGTAGTCCTCGAAATCGTACGGCTTCAATCCATAAGATAACATGAAATCATGCATGCCGTTGAATCCAGCTTCCTTGATCATCCGATACTGACTCTTCTCATTGGGAGGAATGTCATCTGGCTGCTGAGGGGTGACCTGAGAGGGCGACATGATGGCTTGCGGAGATGGGGAAGAAAATTGTTAGCAGCGCTCTGGATACGACAATATGAGAGAGAAATCTGAAGGTGAGGAGAGGTAGTAAGTAGTCCATGAGAAGCCAGGCCGTTGTTAATTTGTAGCAGTGCCTTCCATTTCGGGCAAGATTCGGTCACGGGATATTACCATGATCAATAGAGAGAATACTATCAAGACAGGCTGCAAAGCACACCGACGAGAATCTTGTAGGCCATTCTTTGCAGGCCATTGTTGCCTTCCTCATGACCCTCAACGATTACCAGTCACTTATAACGACTACTAGAAGTCGATTCTATCTCGACAGCAGATACAAACAATGCAGTATTATACGAAAGAGGACGGTACATTTGAAAGTCACAGCTTCAATATTGATATTTTTATAGGTACATAAGTGGATACCCGATCCGAAGCGAAAAGAGCATCAGACGGCTAAAAGGGCTCGTATAGCCGTCAGATAGAAACAAGAAGGAATGTCTATATGATCCGAACTTCCACGTCTGGCTGGGAGCTTAGGCGTTGAGGTCACGGGCGTGCTTCTTCTCAGTGACCAGCCAAGAGAAGGTCTCCTTCAGGACGCTGAGGAACTGGTCGGCGCTCAGAGAGCTGAAGTAGCTGGTGAGGTTGTCGCTGGAGACGGCGACGCTGGAGCTGCTGGGGGTGGCAACAGCGGCGGCGCTGGAGCTGGCAACCTGGATGTGGGTTTGCTGGGGGGCGCTGCCAGTGACAGTGACCTGCACAACGTCAGTCGAAGTCTGGTAAGCAGTGGAGACCGCAGTCTGGACGGTGGTTTCAACGTCGGTGACAACGGCAGCAGCAGCAGCGGTGGTGGTGGTGGCGCTTACGGCGGAGCTAGTCGCAGCAGCAGCGCTGGTGGTGGAGCTGGAAGCGCTGGAAGTAGAGGCACTGGAAGTAGTAGCGGCGGCAGCGGCAGCGGAGCTGGTAGAAGAGGCACTGGAGGAGCTGCCGGAGGAAGTGGCGTTGTACATAGCAGGGCCGGGGATGTCATAGGAGCTCAGGCTCTGGTAGATGTTGACCAGGATACCCGGGTCGGTGTCCTTGTAGAGGGCTTCACCCTTGGTGCCCGAGTAGGTGGAGCTACCACTACCGGTAACCTTCAGGTTGAGACATTGAGGGTAGTTCTGGGCGCCATCCTTGTTTCCAGCGGAGTGCAGGGCAATGATCTCGTGACGCAGGACGTAGTTACCAGACTCGAGGGTCGAGGGGATGGTCACAGTCCAGCTATTGTTGTTGGAGATCAAGTTGTCGGTGGCCCAGGTTCCAGGGACCTCGGTGTCGCTGATAAGGCCGCTCTCGTCGATCTTGAAGAACTCAAGGTCAGTCTTGGTGACATCGGAGCAGTCACCGTTGCAGTTGGCAAGGTAAGTCAGGACGGGACCGTGATGGCTGGAGGGCCAGTCAGTCCACTGGAGCTCGACAGTACCACCAGCCTTGACGTCAGCGGAGATAGCACCAGGCTTAGCGCTCTTGTGGCAGATGATGTCAGCCTCGGCGTATTCACTGCCGTCGACGAAGCCAAGGTCAGTGGCTTCGGTAGACCAGGCAATGGTCTCCGGAGGGTCACTCTCATAGGCGTAGGAGGTGACGATGTATCCTCCGTAGTACTCGCCGTCGACGACAGCACCAGACACATAACCGTGGCCAGCAACAAGGGCGGCCGAGCCGAGGACAATACCAGCAATCTTAGCGACAGACATTTTGCAGGCTTTGGTTTAATCGACGCACAGCGTGATCGTGGGTAAGAGGGATCGGTTGGGAAAGAAAGAGTGACGAAGCAAATGGTCTTCAATCAATGAAGCCAGGAAAGGAAAGCAAGAGAATGGATGGTTCTAAGACCCCGGGAAAAGAAATGAATGAGAAGCTGATGAGGAAAGGAAGAAAGGTCGAAGCAGGACGTGAATCCAGCGCCTTTATATAATGCTAGCCATGGTCGTAGTTCTATCAAGTCTCCGCCCAAAGCTCAGACCGAACGGTTTCGAACCAGGATAAATGAAAGGTTCACTCCCCGATAGCCATGCTGCAATTAGATTTCTTGGCAGCTGTCAGGTTCCCACTGTCTACAGGGCCGACTGAGACGCGGAATTGATTGGGATAGGGTCATCGCAGACGGAGAGTCTGGGATTGATGAAAAGCAGGCACTAGACCACAGACCACAAACACGCCGGTAGGTTCCAGAGTCGGAGGTCGAGACACCCTTGCAGGAGCCAGTTACTACTTGGGCATTAGCGTTGTCCAAACAGGGGAGACGGAGAGGCGCCGAAAAGGGCCCAGCGAATTTAGCTACATACCGGAGCAGAAGAGTGGACCGAATGCCGGAGGCCCTCTGGCCGTCCGGCGGCAGTCTGCGACATGGCGAGTTTCACTCTGGAGCTATTCTGGCTCCAACTCCGCCCTGCCAAGAAATGCCATTTTTGCCAGTTCCGCCGGAAGTGGCTTGTTTAGGTTATGTCAGTTGTTGGAGAAAGAAAATCTATTTGATTTTGGAATCGATAGAGAGAAGAGCTTGAAAGCCGGGGTGAAGTACTTCATGGATATTAGATGGTTGTAGATAGCCAACTAACTTAACTGCGGAGTTAGTTAGTCGGGTGGTACTGCAGTAGTCAGCGATCAACCACGTGCTCACTAGTCCCTATTGAACTCTTGCTCACCTCCCTCAGTGGCTTTTAACAGTACTACACTTCTGTTCTGGGAGTTTTTCCATGTTCTGCGTGATGAAATGTGGCGGGAAATCAAAAAGAGCGACAAGCCTGAATCTCAAAATGGAGGGGCGCATCAATGCCACCTGCCACCCAATAGAGATGGTGCCACCCCGTCACATACATAGTGGTGATAACTGGGGCCGGGGCCCATCCGACAATTAGATTGAGACCGCCGATTTAATTGCAGGGAGGGCCGCATCGAATCCGGTCTTGGCAATGCCCTTACGAAGTAGAGTCAAGCTTCTCATGATTCATTCGTTCACCTTCTCAGCTTTGATTAACACCTCCCTGTAGGCTAATAAGCAACAGCCCTGTATTGATTGGGTGCCGCCCAGTTTCTGCTGGATGGAGTTGGTCCGGATTGCCTGCTAGTCCGTGAATTGAAAACACATTTGTGGCCGCAAACGCTCCTTTCGATAGGACCCTGAGGGTCCACGCGCTCCATGCAGGGACCGCTATTGCTTCTTGAAGCGCCCGACTTGGTCTAGGAGTGCAATCCCTTACTGATTCTCATCAACTTTGGGAAGTCTGGACGCTCAGTGGTGGTAGTCTGTTACTGGTAGATGGGTGGGACTCTGATCCTGATCCTAGCTGCACCGTTGGGGTCTTCAATCCGAAACACACCCATTGGCGGAGTTCGCTATCCACATGTACCAGCGACCAACCAAGCTTTTTTTCCACAACGGCCATCGGTATACTTGTTTGATAGGGAAGGGACGGACTCCTGTGCAATTATTCGTCGCCCGCAGGTCTCTCATGTCTTGCCATATTTAGAATGTCAGTTGTTGCAGATTATATAAACGGACGTCTTGTCCTAGCTGCGACTGTGGTTATTTGCCTAAAGCATTCTTGTATAACTGAACCCCAGCCTCAATTCAAAATCCTTGGGCTGGACGTACACTGATTTGGTTTTCTGCATTCTGCTTTAGGCTTGCGACTAGCCGAAACCTCCTGTTGCGTATAATCAGCCAGCCATTCAGCGGTGATCCGAAGTCCACGTTCCAATGATAGTGTGTATGCATAGTACTTATTTATGAAAAATATAGATGATGCAACTTAGCATATAACGAAAACGCTCATTGAACGAGAAAACCTTGTAACCTTTACTCGGAAGTTTGTCGTACGCTCGGCCCAGCTACTACTTTAACTTGTACTACTACTACATATTGTCACGATCTATGTACTTCTGCAATTTGGGATCTGACTGCGTTCACTGTGCGAATCATGATCCCATGTAGATCAGGCGGGTGTTGGTAACTGCAGTCCTTGCATATTTTGGACACAGGACCTTAAAATGTCACCCAAGCCACCTGCAGCCAGCTCTTGAAGGAAAGACTGTAGGACATTCTCTCTTAGCACTGACTCGTGTATTACTTGAAGCTACTATCGCTCTATGTCAGAAGTTCCATGGAACCCTCAAAATATATACTTAGCCCTCAACATACGAATTTGTCATGAGGTTTGGCATCAATAAGCCGGAATAATCTATGGCGCTCACCTTCTTGTTGAAAAAAGCAAAAAAAAAAAAAAAAAAAAAAAAAAAAAAACATGAAGTGACTGCGAAAGCATCATGGAACCTGCTATTGGAGTATAGGATCTCCGCCACTAGCAACTTGATGTGCTTCAGCTGTATACTGTAGATGGCAGAATTTTCATATAGTAGATAATGGTTTTTCCCTGGAATGGACCGATCGACACCGCTCGGTAGGTCTTGAATGGTCAGCCACCCAACGAAGCACTTTATGAGAAGATAGACTAGACCCCCCACAGTAGATCAGTACACTTTTGATATTTTCCCGCCTACTTCCGGATTAAGTCTTCTTTTCTTCTGATGTCCTTGCGCTAGTGAATATCGGTTTGCCGTGAGATCTTCGCTGCGGAAATAGCATTATAAGCACATTGCAATTGCTCCAAAGATCGCGTGGGCATGCGGTTGTTTTATGGGTCCTAAATGATTTCGATTGCGAAAGATAATTTGGTCTTTACGGTCGACTAAAACCTACATTCTTCCATGGCCTCCTGTGCAGGCATCCTAAAAGCACGTCATCAGATAATTCGGGATGACCGACCATTTATTGAAAACGAGTGCGGTGAGGCCTGCTAGAATGTAGATTCGACTAGTAATGCACTGTCCAGGGTAACTTGATGTGGTAAGTGAAGAGGCCCAAAATTTGGGATTTTATTGGTACCTGATCTGCTCCGCACGGTGAACTCGGATCGAGTGCTGTCAAAACGCTTATCGTCACCTTTTCAGGGATGCGGTCTGATCGGGATCCGAGGGTGCTCTGTGGGAAAATCCCAGGCAAGACATGACGGATGATTTAATTTGCTGACCATTCGGAGTTACACTGTGGCGTCATTCCATCGCGCATCTCCTGAGTATGCGAACGACTGCTGGATTAAACTTACTTGACTGCGGTCATCTTCTTTCTTAGCAGTCTTAGCAACCAGGGAGAACCATCCATACTTAGGCTGTCGTACGTGGTGGATGTCCAAGTTGCTGAGAATGGTAAACGCAGATAGTGCAGTCTGGACCAATTGACGGTGAGATATGCTCCATAATGATCCGCGAACAAAGCGCCACTCTCTCCGATCCGCGAATGTGCTCATCATTTGTGGCTGATCAAATACCAAGTAACTACGGTAACTGGTATTTAATGTACCGAGAGACACGTTTATCACTCAATGCACACCTGCTTGCCCAAGTACTGTGGTGTTCCCAATGGAGTAGGCCTGTTCTGAGAGTGTTGCGTTGACGGAGAGGATATCATACAGATGTGTCACAAAATGCGGTGCGATCTGACAGGCTTGATCCAATGGCTCGGAACTGAGCCGCCCGCCTACCGTAGGATCAACAGATTATCTCTAGTAGTACGGAGGAGTAATATTCTCTCATTATTCTCAAAGCGATAATCGATTGATGATGGAGGATCGGAAGAAGTCAGCATCCACCCACCAAGACATGGACACGATTTACACAGTAGGTGCACTATAGTAGTACTATTGACTTGTAGCCCGCTACGTGTCCCGGAACTTGTCAATCAAATGACAGACGAAGACACTCCATAGAGCGGCGGCGACATCCACCGAACTTAAAGGCAATAGTACGGAGTAGAGTACTTGGTGTAAGTAGTTAGTAGTCAGTTCAATGTTCGGAGTAATAGGAAGGCGTAACTTTTGGTGATCAATTAATACCACCTCAATTATCACTGGTTGCCGTCTTCGGGCGCCCCTCCCAGGATCGTTCCCCGGCCAATGGAAACTCGGCGGCCTAGTTACTCCGTTCCTGGCCGAGATTTGTCCATTTTGGGACTAGTGCCACTCCGGGGCGGCCTCACCGCGACTCACTGTCGAATCCTCGCAAAGAGTCGTTTTACAGCAAAGTGCCTCAGTCAGCAGATAACCATTGATTCACTTCCCTCCCCTTCCTTGTCCTTGGCCTCTCTCTCCCGTCTCCAGGACTGACTTGCCGGTCGGACGCCGTCTCCCGAGTCATCCTTCACATCTCTCTTTCTAGTCTTGTCCTATCCATCGAGATTCTACTCGGATTGATACACTCGCGTCTACTATCCTCGAAACTTCTGCGCTCCGACGCCCGGCCTGGATTTTGCACAGTGACTCCCTTTTCCCAACTCTTGCCGCGCCTCCGCCTCCGCTCCCCCCCCCTACGCCAGCCGCCCTTACTCAACAACCCTACAGTTCCCCTTCAACCACCCTCTGAGAATCCACCATCTTCCCCTCCTTTCAATCCGCTCCCAATTTAGATTCTTCTGTGTCGCTGTCGCCTCGGTTGATGGACGTGGGGTACTGCTGACGGAGGCAAGAGAATCGCGCCCGCAACTGCGCCCGCCCAGCACATTCCCGTCCAAGTCGGCCGCCCTTTGTCCTCCTGTCCCACCGTCCGAAGTGTCAACAATCTGGATTGCAAATACATAAGGTGTGGGTTGAAAAGCAGGCTGTGAGGCATTCTAGGGAGAATTGCAGGCATCTCCCTCTGGTCTTCTGAAGACTGCTGTGAGAGTCAAATGATGGGATCGGCAGAGGCTGCCTCTTCGCCTGCGTTTCCTTTCCTGGACCCGATTGTCGTTGATGACGAGATGGGGCACCCTTACCAGGACGAAGATATGGACTTTTTAGATACTGCGAGGCTGCAGATGTCGGCGGAAAATGCA